GGAAACCACCGAGGAATTACATTACTCTCCATCCCGGGCAAGGGCTTCACCAGGATCTTGCTCAGCCGTGCCCTTCCAGCGATCAGAAGCCGCCGCCGTCCCCAGCAGGCTGGCTTTATGCCCAACCGCTCCACAACTGACCACATCTCTGCCGTTCGTTTGCTGATCGAGAAGACCCGTGAATTCCGTAAAGACCGCCATCTCTACATCGGATTCATCGATCTGAAGGCCGCCTTTGACACCGTCTGCCACTCCTCATTATGGAACATCCTCCAAGCCCTCGGAGCACCACCCAAGATCATAGCCCTGTTCAAGCTGCTCTACAGCAACGCAGAGAGCTGTGTCCGTATCAACGGCATTGACTCTGACTGGTTTACCATCTCCAGTGGCGTTCGTCAGGGCTGTGTGGCTGCTCCTGACCTTTTCAATTGCATCATTGACCATCTGATGTTCAGGGTTTGTGAGCGCATCCCCGGAGTGTCTCTCGGCAACTACCACCTGACTGACCTGGAGTATGCTGACGACACCATCCTGCTCAGCACTTCCTACAGCCAGCTGAGAGACGCTCTGGGCATTTACAGTGAAGAGGCAGCGCGGCTAGGCCTCCAAGTGAGCTGGACTAAAACTAAGTTCATGTATGTCGGTGATGGACCAGATCCACCTCCCATCCACATTGGTAGCGACATCGTAGAGCCTGTCAAGAGCTTTGTGTATCTGGGGTCCATGGTGACAGACAATGGGAGCCTAAAACCAGAGATTCTTCGCAGACGAGCCCTGGCAGCATCTGCTCTGCAGTCTCTCTGGAAACCACTCTGGCGGCACCAGACCATCTCGCGCAAGACGAAGCTCCGGATTTACAACTCAGCCGTACTCTCGATCCTGCTCTATGGCTCAGAAACATGGCCCCTGAACGACACCCTGGCCAAAAGAATCGATGGCTTTGATAGCAGAGCTCTCAGAACCATCGAGAACATCAGGTGGCCCCAGCGAGTCTCCAATGAAGAGCTCAGAGCCCGCACGTGCCAGCCCCGAGCATCTTCCTTGGTCGCACAACGCCGCACCCGCTGGTTCGGCCATGTCCTTCGCCTACCACCAGACCATCCGACACGAGCCATTCTTCAGTTCGACCCAAAGGCCGCAGGCTGGAGACGACCACGAGGGAAGCCCATCACCCGATGGCTCGACGTCGTTGCGGGCGACCTCCAACAACAAGGAGTTGCTGTGGAGGATGCAGAACAGCTGGCACAAGACCGCCGGCACTGGAAAAACCTGGTTCATCTGGTCGGCTCAACGCACAGGGACGGGACCCCCGGACCTTCGCTGGAGCACTAACTAACTAACTAACTAACTAACTAACTAACTAACTAACTAACTAACTAACTAACTAACTAACTACTTTTGTCTTTCATTTATTGTTTTGGAATGCTTTTTTTAATTTATGTTTCATGCCCATGTTTGTGACCAGTTCTCATTGTTACAGCTGCAGCGGTTGTGATGGCTCGCTATAAATTAATTTTGTCTTTCATTTATTGTTTTGGAATGCTTTTTTTAATTTATGTTTCATGCCCATGTTTGTGACCAGTTCTCATTGTTACAGCTGCAGCGGTTGTGATGGCTCGATATAAATAAAGCTGTATTGTATTGTTTTGTATTGTATTGTATTGTACTGTATTCCCTTAAGCGTACCACCGTCTCGTGCAGGGGTGGCCAACCAGTCAGAGACTAAGAGCCAATTTTTTTACTGTGTTACTGCAAAGAGCCACATCGCACACGCACACACACACACACACACACACACACGCGCACACACACACACACACACACACACACACGCA